TCCTCCTGCTTCAGCCTCCTGAGTACTGGGCTAACGAGTCACATCTTGATGGACATTATTAAAAATATCTTTTGGTTTACAAAGTATCATAATAGCTAACACTAAACACATACCTTCTCGTACTTTTGTCAATGCATCTTTGAGACAGATTCTTAGAAGCAAGAATGCAGAGCCAAAGGGTAAATGAGTATTGCATTTGGCCAGATCCTGCCAAATTCCCCTGCAAGAGGGCTGCATTACCGCGGCTGACTGTGCCTGTTTGACCTAGAACTTCACCCACAGTACGATGCTAGCTTCTAGAGTCTTGCTAATCTAAAAAGTGAGAAATGGTATCTCAGTGCACAGTAGTGATGTGCGAGTCTGAGTTTTTTCATATTGAAGGCTCATTTTCATTTCAGTTTTGTACCGTGGTCATCTCCAGATAGGTTGCTGAGAATGAGCTTGTGTTGCTTCAGCAGCCCGTTCTGCTTACCAACCAGCCAGACACGGGGGTGGAGCCCTGTGCCCTGGGAGGCCCAGGGCCCACATAACCCAAGGGTGCTGATGCCGCTCCCTGCATGCTGAGGAGGAAATGGTGTCATTCCTTGCATTTGAGCTCCTTCCTGCTGTTATATCCAGAATGTCGGGAACAAGGTGTTAAGTTTATCGGAACCAAGACCATCCCATGCAATGCAGCTGGATCTTTTAAAAAAAATTCCATTAGCACATGTTTGCAGTACAGAATGATTATACTCATTGTGGGGAGTTGGTACATGTAAATAATGCTTCTTAATTCTTTTTACTTCCCCTCCTTTCTTCCCTCCATTTCTAGATTTTTCCCATTTGCAAAAGATCTACCTCCGTTTCCTATTATCCTTAATTTGTTTTTGTTTTTTGAGACAGGGTCTCACTGTGTAGTTCAGGCTGTCCCTGGACTCACTATGTAGCCCAGGCTAGCCTCAAACTCACGGTGATCCTCCTGCCTCAGTCTCCTGAGTACTAGGATTACAGGCATGCACCACCACACCTGGCCTCAATTTGCTCTTTATTTATACTTTGGGTTTCTCACAGACAGCATGCCACACTTAAGTTTGTGTGTCTGATTTATTTCACTGATCATTATTGCCTCAAGGAGGATCCATTTTCCTACAAATGACTCAAATTTATCCTTCTTTATGGCATAGCACTCCATTGTTAATACTTTCTTTGTCCATTCACTTGTGGATTGACATATAGGTCGCTTCTAAGATTTAGCTATTATGAGTGGTGCTGTTATAAATATGGGTATCACTGTAATATGATATTTTTAACTCTTTCAGGGAGATACCTGGAAGAGGAATAGCTGGATTGCATGGAATTTCTACTGGAAGAATCTCCGTATTGATTTTCATAGTGGTTATACTAGTTTACATTCCCACCAACAATGTAAAAGGGTTCATTTTTCCCCACAGCCAGCATTTGTTAGTATTTGATTTCTTGAAGACAGCCATTTTTTCTGGAATAAAACGAAATCTCAGTGTTGTTTTAATTTGCATTTCTCTAATGACTAGAGATGTTGAACATTTTTTCAGGTGTTTATTAGCCATTTCTACTTCTAAGAAGTGTCTATCCATTTCAGTTGCCTGTTTCGTGAATGGGTCTTTTATTTTTGGAGATCTGACTTTTCTGAGTGCTTCATATATTCTAGATATTAGTCCTTTGAGGAGTAGCTAGCAAAATATTTTTCCCATTCTGTAGGTTGTCTCTTCACTCTACTGATTTTTCCTTCGCTATGTGGAAGCTTTTTAATTTGGTGTAATCCCATTTATTGATTCTTGATATTATCTCTTGTACAACTGGGGCTCTGTTCAGAAAGTCCTTAACTGTGCCTATGTCATGTCTTCAAGAGTTTTACCTATTTTATCTTCTAGATCTATTCTTTACCTGGCTGGGTGTTAGTGCTTTGTGTATCCACGTGTGGCCCCGCGTAGGTGACCTGCACGGGGTGCTCTGACCACCATCTACGGCTGCATTTTAAGGACCCTGAGGTCCACCGGTTTGGAGGGACCTGAGTGTTCAGCTGGGACCATGGGAGGCGAGGTGTAGGCCAGCAGCACCATCTCAGAGCCATCCACAATCTCTTAAAATTTTCTATTTGTGCAATCATTTTTCTGTTCTTTTTTCATAGCACCCTCTTCTTAGTTTTACACGTTTAATATTGTCTTATATTTATATATATGTATATTTCTTCCATTTCCTGAATAACCTATTTATTTTGGGGTCAATTTTTAAACTCTACCATTAGTATTGATCTTGTCTCATTCATGCTTCTTGTTCCACTCAATGACCTGCGTCTTATTTAAGAAAAGGCTGGGCAGTTGGTATGGGTTTCCTCTACATTCCAGCTGAGCCTTTCCCACAGGAAAAGTCTACTTGGTAACTCTGAGAGGAGTGGGAAGGGACAGAATGGGGAAGGTCAAACTGTTAGGCTTTGCTTTAGGGTCAAGAGCTGGCTGTCAAGACTGTGGGACTTTCCAAATATCAGTGAGGCCTTAAACCTAGATGACAACATCTGTTCTGAGCATGGGGCGGGAGAAGGGGGTGGCAAGCCAACTGCTGGAAAGTGCTCCGTGTATAAGATTTCCGTGAATCTCTGCTTTTGCAGTACCACTTCTCACTCTTACCATCCAGCGTACCTGCCAATGCTGGGCCCAGAGCCTCTTGGGATTCCAACAGGCAGGCTGGTTCCCAGATCCCTCTAGCTCCCTCCTAGCACACTGAGCTATAAATCTTTCCACCTCTTCTATCTGTCAATGTGCTCCCATCTGCTTTGTCTTCTAGAGATTCATTGAAGGCTGTCGTCTGTTGCTTAATATCCCGCCTCATCTCACTGCTATTCTAAATTTATTATTACATAAATTAGATTAATTCAGCAGGGTCCAGGAAGGAGTTGCATCAAACTAATCCTCTATCCTTCTTGAACTTTCTGACCACTGATCTGATATGAAGAAATAGGTGTGCATTATTTGTAGCAGTGTTTATTAAAGTGTAGAGGTGAAGGAAATCAGTTTCTAATAAATTTTATGCATTTGAATTTATATGCGCTTGTTCAGCAAGGGGCTCTTTTATCATTTTATTAAAAGCGTCATCTTAAAAAGGAAACAAACCAGGAAAATTCCCAGTTTCTTCTAGATTTGATGACTCAAGGATATCTTTACTGTGTAGCTGCAAAAAAGTCACTTTCATTTCATGGAGAACGGAAATTTTTGAAATGCTGTGTGTATGGTGCAACTGCTAAGCTGATCGGGGAATGTTGATTCTGAAGTGCTTCTAGGATGGTTTCAGAGGAGATGTCAAGTCTGTTGCTGAATCAGAAATATGTGATCTTCAAAACTGGTCATTAATAATGATGCATATGATATCACCCAGAAAATAATTTTAAAAGGAAAGAGAATTCTAGGAAATACAAATGGTAAGGGATGGGCAGAAGAAATCAACTTTTAACAGACTGTAAAGGAGTGACTGATCATGTCAATTGCTGCTGAGATATCAAGTAAGAACAGGGCGGAAGAGTATACATGAATTATAAATTACTCAATGCACTGGAAAATAAACCGAAGTGATAATGTAATGAAAAATGAGACCAAACTTCAGATGCTGTTTTGAAATCAGGACCCCACTGTAGTACTATTCTTCCAACCTGTGCGGATCTCTGCAGCGGTGATATTACATGCCAGGGGTAAAAATTAATCCAGAGCTGAAATTTTGCTGGTTGGCCGAGGGCAGAATGAAAAGGATATGCAGAACTGAGATTGCTTGCACAGTTCAGGATGAAGAGAGAAACACAATTAAGAGGTACAGCATCTGAGAGAGCGAGGGTATTTGAGGGCCAGATGACTGCTCACTGAAGTGGAGAGGGGAGAGGAGCAGGTTAAGGTGCTGGATGGGCTAGGTATGCAGACAGCAAAGGCACCTGAGACGAATGAAAGTAGTAGGGAAGGCTGAGATCTGGTTTCTGATTTTCTCTTATATACACAGAAGTGGCGCTACAATGAGAAGAAAAGGTGGGAAGCAGCATTCATCCTCGCCTGAGAAATCAAGACATCCATGGGCACTGTGGCCCTCATCAGCGATCACAAAGGGGACGCTCAAGAAGACAGGGCTGAAGGCCTCACCAGGGCAGGGCTACTGCCATCAGGCCAGGGCTGGCGCAGCTGCCCACCCTAGAGGAGCTGACGGTGCAGGAGGCAGACAAAGCTTCGCTGTGGGCAGCCGTTCACAGGATACTAGGCCCGCACTGGCTATTCCAACTAGCGGTGATCATTATCTTGTTCACCTCACAAGGAGCAGCCCAAGTCTGACAACTATGTGCTGGACAAAATGCAATGGGCGGGACACGTCTTGAGAGAACAGCAAGGGTCATCAAGTGAAAACAGCCCAGGCTTTACTGGAAAGTCCCTATCACTCGAGACCAGGATGACAGCCAAGCCTGAAAAAGAAGGTGATGTGAAGCCAGTCACAAGGGGCAGGTGCCTTGTTCACTGGATGGTGTAAAGATATGCCCATGGGCCACGCTCGGTGACACAGTTAGACAACTGGTGAAAACACCCACACATTTTGCCCTGACTGATAGTGTATTCTTCCCTGGATCATAAACACTAGCAAAAAAGTTACCTTACATGCTGTGGAAGTTACTCTGTATAATTTCTTATCCATTAAAATTTTTAAAGGGGGAAAAAAGAGCTAGGATTTCCATAGGATGAAAAGTTACTTAGGCTCAAAGATGAGAAACCATTTCACATTTGAGTGTCTACTATTTACTGTGCTGGATGAGGCACACAAAGATGAGGCAGATGCAACTCTGTCCCTCTCATGACTAATAGGTGAGTATAAATCTTTTAAGGCCCATTCTATTCTAGAATAAGATGACTTTAGTAATCTTGGTCCAGTGTGAACTGGAAAAAATTTTGTTTCCTATTTTCTTTATCATACAATGAAGAAATACACAAAAGTTTGTGCACTATCTTTAAAAACACACTTACCTGTTTCTTTTTAGAAACTGCTCTGTTTGCATACTTGGTGTCTTGAGACTTCCTCCTATTAACTTTCTTTTCTTTACAAGGCTGAGCTTCTACATTATGTAAGTTGGAAACATTTTCTTCTGTAACACTGGTCAACTGCTGTAATGAAAATTCAAGGTAAGGATCCACAAAGCACAAGCAACCACAATTTCATGTACAGCTCTCACTTCTGTTGCTCTCCCTATGATGATCTACCATTTCATATCTTGTTACTTCTTAATTCACTGATTCTATTAGAGGCATCTGAACCAGAATTCAAACAAGGAAAGTGGTATTTACATATTTCTGATCTATCAAACAGATCCAGAAGCATATGGATACTACCCAATTATATTAGTAAGAAAAAAACTTAAGAATTAGTTGATTTATTCATTTATCAAATATTTATGGAGAACAAACAGTTTAGTACCCAACATGTTACTGGGTTACAGGAAAGAAAATCATGAATGGTTATATTATCTAGGTTTGAATTTGGGGTTTGTAAACAACCATATCAGCTAAAAGCCCTACGAAAATGTTTATAAACTATGACTATAGACAAAAATCCAATGTTACCTAATTTAATATCAAAAGACATGCATTCTCAGTTGAAACAAACAGTTCAAAGTACAGTTTAACACGCTCGTGACAAGGCCATAATTTGTATGTCTCACTGCTGGATGGTTTGAACCACCGCTGGTACATGTGTGACTGCCCCGCTGGGTGGTTTGTTTAATTGTTAGTAAAAAGACGGTTACAAGTGATTACATTCTTTTGTATCACCAGTGGTAGAAGCTGCCTGATGGGACAGGGATCAGACATTTATGTACCACCAGTGGTCCAAATGGGCAGGAATGTGTTAAGAAACGGTTGTATTCATGCCATCTGGGACTCCACTAATTACATGCTGATCTCCAGATGCATCTCAAGGAAATACTTAAAAGATCAGAGATCTCAAAGTTTTCAAACAGATTATCTTCCATATTAACACAAGTCTGAAAGCATCTTGTTTTAGTGGATCTTTCTTCTAACATAATTAAAATCAAATCTATTAAACATAATTCTGTTAGGATAGGTATTCTTTTTTTTTTTTTTGGTACCGGGGATTGAACTCAGGACCTTGCGCTTGCAAGGCAGGTGCCGGAACCACTGAGCTAAATCCCCGGCCCCAGGATAAGGTATTCTTAATAACACTGATCAAACCAAATTACTGTCTATTAAATTTCATCATGAAAATAGAAAAAATATGATTTAATATAAACACTCACATTTCTTCTGTTAGAAGTCCGTGCTAGTCTACCAGCTTTCCAGGAGGATATTTTCTTCTGGTTATTTGAAGAACTAAAGGTATCAGTGCCTGATAAGCAAGAAACAGGCAAAATCCGGTGACTAATACAAAACTGTAACATACATCATCATCTGGAAATACTGGAAAGTTTTTTGGATACTTACTTTTGCTTTTAACATCATATTTGAACATAATCAGTAGGAAATCCAGAAACATTTCTAGAAACTACTGAGCTTACTGAATATCCAGAAATTGTCACCACTTTCCAGACTACTTAACATATTATCATGTTAAGATAGCAGACTAAATCATATTACATGTATACTACACCATACTACAACAAATGCATGTATAGAAGCCTGTTAATTCCAAATTATATTTTATACATTGAAATTGCAATAAGGGCATTAAGATGACCATTAAAATACTTTATTTAAAATTTTATAAAGTTTAGGTAAATTTTATTGCATTGTATGGTATAAATGAAACACAGTATGAGTTTAAAACCAGACTGCAATGTAATAGACTTATGTTTCAAACTTTGGCTCTAGCTTGGATTCTGTGCTCTAACCTTGGCTTGTGTCAGCAAGAAGCCATTTACACCAGGGAAAATACATGAACAAAAGCTCACATACCAAGAGCCCATTCCATGACATTTGCCAGCTAAGTGTCAGAAAACTGGGAGAAATCTTTGTTGTCTTGTCATGATCATAAAAACTAAACGAGTCCTTGGGAAGTACATATGCCAAAAATGCTACGTTAAGGTTGATGAAAAATTTTGGATGTTTAAGAATGATCCTTACCATCCAAATCATTTCAGTTGTGCAAACTGTGGGTGAGATCTTACTATTGATACTTAAGAGCTGAGAGATCAACAGCACTGCTGATGGCAATTTGAAACGGGTGCCCTTCTACAGGTCTCTAGAGAAAGGGATGTGCAAAGGGAAGGGATGGATAAGCGACTTCTCACAAGCTTTTCTAAGCTACAGTAGCAGATTTGTAAACCAAGCAGACTATTGCTGTCATAAGACTTTAAAAAGAAAATAGGTTAAGTTTCACATATTGAAGAGGACTTTATAATATAAACAAAAGTTATACCTGAAAGAGTCTCAGAGATTGAAGATTTATTAGGACTCAGAGCCGCAAATGATATCTGGAGTGGTTCTATGTTTTCCTAAATAAAGGAAATAAAAGAGCAGAAATTAGATATTTTTAAATTCAGCTAACATATAATGTGCCCAAAAGAAAAAATGACAAGGACTTATTTTGATAGAGGAATTATAACAATCATAAAGATGAGAAATCAACAAAGATTAAAAAGAAGTCAAAATAAAGATAGTAAATATGGGCCGGGGATTTAGCTCAGTGGTTCCACCGCCTGCCTCGAAAGCAGAAGGACCCAAGTTCGATCCCTGGTACCAAAAAAAAAAAAAAAAAAAGATAGTAGATATACTTTATAAAACCGACCAATCATCTTTATGAAACTATGTTTAATAATTGCAATTGACCAAAACAGAAATAAATTTTGTATTAGAAAGTGAAAGTAGTCCTTCCTGGTTTAAAAATCCACATTTTAATTCCCACAAAGTAAATAACCAAGTTCATTATTAAACAAGAGCTAACGTGACAATATTATTCAAGGAACTTCAGGATAAAAGGGCAGTACAAACACAGTTAACTGATCTTTCCCACACAATTGCCAGTAAGATAGTAGCTATTGATCTTGTCACCAGTTTGGTCAGAATGTTTTCATTGTTTTTAATCCAGAAATAGATGCTAGATTGTCAAATGCTTCTTGCACATCTACTAAGATGACCATATAGTTGTCTTTGCTAACATGGCGAACTATACTGTTTTGCAAACATTAGCTAACTTTGCATCCCTGGGCTAAATCTCACATGACTATCATGAAATTAGCTTTTCGTATCTTGGTATGTTCAAGAGGGTGCTGAAATGCTATTTTCTTGTAATTTAGTTGAAGGTTAACGGTGATGTCAATGAATTTGGAACTATTTCAAACACCTCAATTTTTGGAAGAGCATGTGTACAATTCTAACTTAACTTGTTTAAATGTTTGGTAGGATTTGTTGGTAAAAATCACCTAGAGTTCTCTGTGTGGTAAGGTTTTAGTGGCGATTTAAATTTCTTTAGTCGATATAAGGTTTTGAGTTTTGATACTTTATATCTTTCAAAGAATATGTTTAGTTTATACAAGTTAAGTTTAGTAGCATAAATTGTTTATAATATTTACTTATTCCCACTTAGTGTTTGTTAGGTTACATAATTATGTTACTTCTCACCCTATGGATCTTTAATTTTTCTCTCCCTTTTCCCTAGTCAGATTTAGAGTTTTACCAATATTTTTTTTAAACCATAGCTTTTTTTCTATCTCAGAAAATACAGGAATTTCTATAGCACAATTGGAAGATGATCGCTTTTTTATATTCTGATGTCTCTAAAATCTGAGTCTATCTTACAATTCATAAATGTGCTTTTCACTTTTTCTTAATAATACATAAAAAGACACTGTCTTACAATTCACAGTATTTAAGTTTCATGAAATCTACTACATAATCATGGAAGTGTTGCTTGAAACAGAGAAAAGTGGTAAAAAGCTATAAAGTAGATTCACATAAAACATGGCATGTCACTTGGTTTGTCTCATGATTTCAAAAGATCGTTATTGCTCCTGAAGACAGGAGAGGGCTGATGAAAATAGGAGCCAGCTTATTCCAGGATTTCTCACTTACAAGATCCTCCCCTTTGGCATCAAAATCGGGTTGAGGCAGAGGCTCGGGAACTGGAGACTCCTCTGGCAGCTGCAGACTGAGGCTACCGAAGTCCTTCTGACGGGCAGGGGTTCCTCCTCTACGCAGTGGGGTGTTAGCGGGCAAAGACTCATCAAACACTTCCGGGCTGAGCTCCTCTCCAAAAGTAACTCTCTTCCTCTTCCTCATATTTAGAAAAGTGGGCACTTTACAATTTTCTTGATCTTCTATAGAGAATACACAGGGATACGTTTTTTTAAAAACATGGCGTATATATCTAAAGAGTGTACACTAAAATCTTTTAACATGATATATTATTAAGCTATTATTTGTTTGTTTGTTTTTTTTGGTACCAGGGATCGAACTCAGGACCTTGCGCTTGCAAGGCAGACAGTGGAATCACTGAGCTAAATCCCCAGCCCATTAAGCTATTATTTGTAAAATAAACATAGTTTGTAGAGCAAATTCAAACTGGAAATGAGAAGCAAATTTCCAGCTAAAAGATGGCATAGACTTCTCAAGTAAAATTCGGCATAAATATCTAAAACCTGTAACAGTTCCACAATTAAGTAAAAATGGATAAGGGGAAAGAGACCACATCTGTTGATGGCATGGTAAACATCTGATGGAGTTTTTTGGTGCTGGGACTAGAACCCAGGGGCTCACGCATGTTGGGCAAGTGCTCTACCACTGAGCTACACCCCAGACCATAGACCAGTGGCGGCAAACCTATGGCACATGTGCTGCAGTGGGCATGCAGAGCCTCTCTGTTGGCACCCGAGCCAAGTCGCCCCAGCATCGCCCCAGGAGCCAAGCACTGGATATTTAGGTTTAACTGCAGTGTTGGCACTTTGTGATAAATAAGTGGGCTTGGGGTCTCAATCTGGAGAAGGTTCACCATCACTGCCCGACACCAATACTGAGCTCTCCAAAGAGATTCTATCCCTCCCAATTATTCTTCATTTCCATGTAACTGCATAAGGATTAGCAGACCACTGAAAATCTGATATACCAGGTTTTATTAACAAGAAAATGCTATCCTCAGGCTTAAAGGTAAATATGAATTTCTTACCTGCTTTTTGTTCTTTGCAACAGTTTAAAAGATTTGAAGTTAAGCTTGGATGCATCCCATCATCACAGAGGTTGGTATGGTGTTCCTAAACAAAACAAACATCAGGAAATAATTCTATCTATACAGATATAAATACACAGTCATAGAAAGGGCAGTTCTGAATTGTTTCACCAAAGGGTAGATATTGTAGTACTACAGGTTATCTTTATTTTCATAATGGTTCTGGCTTAAAACATTATGATATTAGGCACAAATAAAAACTAAGTTTTCTAAATATTACTTTAGTAAACAGTATTTTCGGGCAAAATTAAAGAACAGAAATCTATAAGTGCGGGTTAAATTGACTGCATCTTTGATCTGGCAAATGAAGTGAAGGAAACTGGCAGTGGCTAGACTTACAGAGTACTACAGCTGCTGTCAGATGGGGTAGACCATTACAAGTGGCCTGAAGTATAAAAACTGCACTGAAAGGCCGGGGATTTAGCTCAGTGGTTCTGCCACCTGCCTCACAAGTGCAAGGTCCCGAGTTCGATCCTTAGCACCAAAAAAAAAAAAAATTACACTAAAACAAGAAAAGAAACCATACAGGTAAAAGATATAATAGGCTATTTTCTCTTTTGAATGTGGGAGGTACACCTTTGGTAAGTGTTTAAATTTCCTTTCTATAGTACCACATTCCTGAGGAAGAAACTGGAAAGAATGTAGCTTGTGTCCCTGTGTGTTTATCTAAGATTGCAGAGGTGAGCTGGAAAAGGAAGGGATATTCCAAATCCTGCAGACAGGGCTTGCACACACAGAGCCCCTGACACTCAGCAGAGGACAGCAGGCCAGGGCAGCGGGTTACAGGGCCCCCCCAACCCACCTACTTGTCCAGTCTCATCTGCAAGTCCTGCTCAGGCCTTGTTCTCAAGAGCCACTCTCCCTTCCTCCACTACAACCACCCCAGTAACAGCACCTGCTCTAAGAACAGCCTGCTCCACGCAATCCTCCATCTGCTCTTTCCCAAGTTGGTTCTTTGTCCTCACCAGGAAAACACATGTACTAATATGTACTGGGAAAGACGTTAACTTATACAATAGTTCATGGTTGCTTTTCGATTTCTTTTTAATTAAAACCACCACAAAAATTAGTAAAGAACTTTAATTTTGTTAGCCAATTTTGGCCAGCTTAGTAAACAAGATCATCAATTGTAAACAAACCCTTCAGTTCTAGCTCCTAGACTTGATGTTTGCTGTGTCATACTGTTACTATTTGTAAAAAATAAGAGCTATTAAAATGTTGAGTCTCTTTTTAAAAGGGATAAAATATGAGTAAGTACTGCTATTTACAGTAAAAATTCCAATCACTTTCTCAGTTAAAACATTTAAGGTTTTTTTTGTTTGTTTGTTTTTGTGTTTTTTGGGGGTTTTTTGGTACTGGGGATTGAACTCAGGTCCGTGCGCTTGCACAGCAGGCAACGAAACCACGAGCTAAATCCCCGGCCCCTTAAAACATTTAAAATAGCAACTGATCATCAACTGTCCATGCAGGTAGAAGGTAACTGACTTCAGTTTGGCCTGGCAGACAGCTTTGTATACACAGTTGCATGTTCAAACACTATGGTTTAAAAATAAGATTTGTATTTCTGACATGCCACAAGCTGGTGCTAATGTCATACTATTATCCTACTTAATGCTCAAATGGTTCTATAAGATATTCATTAATATTATCCTTGGGCCGGGGATTTAGCTCAGTGGTTTTGCTGCCTGCTAAGCAAGGACAAGGACCCAAGTTCGATCCCTGGTACCAAAAAAAAAAAAAAAAAATTATCCTTTTACACAGAAGGAAACCAGGGCACAAAAAAGTTAATTTGCCCAGCTATTAAATTTCTAAGACTAGAAACCAGGCACTCTGCTCCAATTTCTCTGCTGCAGCCTTCAAGAGCTCAGTCTGTGGTGGAACTGAACCGCCTTGCTGGGGTGCACTGAACAAACTGCAAACCTAAAGGCATGCCCAAAGGGTCAATACCTGTTTTGGAGAACTGCTGCTGCATATATGTCAAAATGACAGACAGAAACCACTCAATAAATGCCACCTGCTTTCCATTACCTTCCTCTTTCCTCCTATCAGTTCAGCTGACAGAAAAAAGCTTGGTTGTAAGAAGCAGTAAGACCAAATATTTTGGATGGACAGATACGTAACAGACTGACACATTACTATGAGTAATTATTATCACTACACAGTCACATTAAATTACTGAAATACAATTCTGTCAATGCAATGGATCAGTACAATTAAGATGACAAGCCTCTTAAATGACTTACATTAAATTCTGCATACTATATACCACACTTTAAAAAAAAGAACAAGAAAGAAATTTCACACAGTGCTATAAATGAGAAAAGTTAAGTAGAGGAAAAAATATAGAGTAAGACATTTCCCCTTTATGCCATATGATATATATGCTATTTCAGAGGTACTGCTTTGAAGAAAAATAAAGTTTGATTCAGTGGTTTTAGGTAATGTAACTCTTCTCTCACCTGTAAGCTGTCTAGAGACGGCTTCACACAAGGTTTCTTCAATACGGAGCGGAGGACAAAGGTCTCAGTGGGTGAAACTTCCCTCCTGCATACAGGAGGAGGTGGTGATCTGCCCTCAGGGACCGAGGTCCCGCTTACCTCTGTGGGCGGCGTGGCGAGTGGAACAGCATCGCCGGACCCTGTGCCCGCCACACAATCTGCAACCTCGAGTCCTGCAAGAGAACATCCTAGCGTGAGGCTGAAGACATCCAAATGCATTCGTTCTGGACCAAAAATACTTGCTATATTTGCAAAGATAATAGCAATTGAACCCTAATCCATGCTGCCCAGGGAGTAACACCTGGGATCTCGCTTGGAATACAAAGAGATGCCAGAGAAATGGGCTTCACCATGATCTTTAATTCAAATCTGACTACTTAGGGTAAATGTAAGGAAGAAATTTTGACTTCCACAGAAATCTAGGTCAAAGGCTGGAAGTATGAATGAGCTATACTGTTAGTCTGCCCTCATGATATGTATGAGTTATACCCCAAAACTTAACAGAAGCCCAAGAGTGAGCACTGAGGGATTTTGCCACTGAAGTGCAATATGCAAAGGTGGTGGGAATGAGAGAGGGGGATGATGGGAAAGATGATCAAATCAGACCAGAGCTGACCTGCCAGACCCAAGGGTTCTGCATCAGCAATGCAGGGGACCCAGTCAAATCACAATTCTATGCCCGTGAATTCTGACCCTAAAAATACTGTGAGAGATACTTACCCTAAAAACTACTGTTTGTAAGAGATAAATTGTTAAGTATCTAAAATTTTCAAAGCAGCAAAGGAAGAAGTGTGGGAAACATGACGGGCAAGAGGAGGTGTGAGAGTGTGAAGTGACAAATGAATGGCAGGGCCAAGGGCGGTGCTGAGCCCTGTGAGGGAGGATGGTGAGGACTGCAGGCCTTGCTCCAGCAGGCGCAGAGGTGGCAGAGATGGCTGCACTGGGCCTCTGGCCGGATGGGTGAAGGGGAGGAAGAGGGGGCAGCCAGGGAGCGATGGGAGGTATCATGGCGGCCTCCTTCCTAAGTTCCTCCTCAGAAGGGCTTTCTGCCCCACTGCAAAGATCCTTTGACCCTTCCTGAAGGCTTTAAGATATAGTAACCTCTGGGGACACCAATAACCAGACAGCTTAAAACACAGCAGCCTGGCTGGGGATTTAGCTCAGTGGTTCCGCCACCTGCCTTGCAAGCACAAGGTCTAGAGTTCGATCCCCGGTACCAAAGGAAAAAAAAAAACCACAGGAGCCTGCAGTAGGCTCTGTTAATCAAGGACCCCTCACCCACGGCAGACCCATTCCTCCCTGCTGTATCTTTTGACAGGCAGGGCTTAGTGGGAGGCTCGAATGGGATTTTCACCACTCCCAGGCAAAGCCACAGGAGAACAGGGCAAAGATGATTCAGAAGAAGGAGAGAGTGGCCCACTTCTCCATGGTGACAGACTCTGCACCCTCTCCGTGCAGGCAGGCAGCCAGCCATGTATATGTTAGGATCAAAAGTTAAAGGCAGAGCAGACGCTTACTACAAAAGCAAAACAAAATACAACAAAAACACCTCAAGAAACACTTTTTCAGGCTGAAGGGAAGAAAATTCCAGAAGGAAACTTGAATCTCTGGGAAGGAGTGAAGGGAACCAGAAATAGTATACACTAGGTAAATATAAAAGACTATTTCTCCCCTTACTGAAGTTAAGAATGTAAGCTGTAATCTCAGAGCAATAAGTTAAAAAAGCTATGAGTCAAACCATATCAATAATTACTTGAAATTTTAATGGGCTAAGAGCTACAATCAAAAGGAAAAATACCAAAATGGATTTTAAAAAAGCAACATCCGGCCGGGGATTTAGCTCAGTGGTTCTGCCGCCTGCCTTGCAAGTGCAAGGACCTGAGTTCAATCCCTGGTACCAAAAAAAAAAAAAAAAAGCAACATCCTACTACATGTCTACAAAAGTTTTACTTTAAAAACATAGGCAGGATAAAGACAAACCTAACATCTGCTAAGCAACTTCGACTCAATGTAAGCATATGATTGGAGGAAAGGATGAGTAACTTCGCTATCCTCGTGAAGCCCTTCTGTACACTGAAAAATGAAAACAAGTAAAAGAATTATGTGTAGTGTTTCTCTAACGAAATATACTTGCTAATGTATTTGCAGCCCCTACTCTTTATATCATTTTCTATTGGCTTGGACATATCTCACCAGTTCTTACTGAGAGCAATGCAATAAAGAAACTATTGTTCACTTAACACTAATTCCAAGACGTGTGGCTGGACAAGAGCTCCTAAAAGGCAGGGAATCATTTTAGTTTTCTCCCATTTGAGTGTATTAGTGTGAAAATCTTAAATGTCCACATCACTGACAGAGGCAACCAGCACAGGTAACTGAGGAGAAATACAAACTTACCATTCGAAGCCTCTGTGACTGCTGGACAGGGAACCCATTCAGCTATACATCCAGACTGGCTTAAACGACATTCAGGTGATATCTTGGGGGAAAACATTTAAAGGGCATTATATTTCATTATTTATAGTATTATCAATACCTTTATGCAGATTTGACAGCTTTATGGATTAACTGGAAATCAGTGTTCAGTCACCTTCATAATCTAGCAAAAGCTGGGTGCTGGCACATGCTTATAATCCCAGCACTCAGGAGGCTAAGGTAGGAGGATCGCCACAAATTCAAGGGCACCTTATGCAACATAAGCTAGCAAACTCAAATATACAGGACTCTAAGAACGGAGTTTTCATCCCAAATGCATCCTCAGTGTCCCACAAAACGATTTTCAATCCCTTAGGAAAAGTTCAGGGAACACATTTTTGTTGCCTACTCAAGCCTAAAAGTCATGTCATCTGCTATCCTTTGAAGAGGAAATTCACTAAAGGGCTATATGATGATTAATCAAACACCAAAATATATCAGTAGCTAGGACAGGAAAGACATTTAATGGTTAGGATAGAAAACACATCCATTGTAATACAGAGATTATTTCTACATCATGGTGTAGGTCCAGTGAGTCACAGGTCTGATAAGAAACAATGACTACTGCTTTTGTTTGATGATGATCTCATATTAACTTGAACAAAGCAGACAGAGAGCGAGTTACAGGCAACTCTGGGACAGAGAAAACCCAAGCCCCAACCCCCTCTGTTGAGTATGGAACATGTACTATGCTACTCGTGTCCTGGATCTAAGTGGCAGAGAAGGTGGAGGACACAGTGCTCCCTGTACAGTGTCAGCTGGTGTCACCAGGAAAAGAAGACTGCATCAAACCACAACAAGGGCACCAAGCACGAAAAGTTAGTAAAATTCATGTTCCTTACTGCCTTTCGAGAATTCTGACTGGAAGCCACAGAACTCCCACTGCCACTTGAAAGACATCAGCAAGGAGACACTGCTAAGTAGCTCCTTGCTCCCCGGCAGGGGCGGCACCCAGAGGTGACACTCACTAACCCTGGAGGGCCTCCCACAGGTCACCCGGGCGGATGTTTAAGTAATCTCTTTGCACGCCTGGCTTCACCACCTGACAGAAAGCGGCTCCAGGCAGGAATAAGCCAAATTCACTGTCCAACTATCAACCATCAAGACCAGTGCTTTATGCAGAAGACCTCAGGCCTGAATCTTTTCATCAAGTCTTTTTCAGAAGACTGGGAGTCCAAAGCAGCCAATCTACAAAAAACTGTTCCTACTAAGTATGAAACCAACTGACAACAATAAAATTCACCCACATACACAGAGTCAACTTAAAACCGCTGCAACCACAGGGCAGAATACTTAGGAAAGGGCCTGGGGAGCCAGCCTTCAGTGCCTATGCAGAGGTTCAGAGCTCCGTTTCTCTGCGTAGGAAATAAACCATCACCTCAGGAGGAGCCAAGGAGGCGCCAGCAGCGCGCCTGGTATCCACACTGGACCTGGGTGTCTGCGGATCCACCCCTGAGCCCCCTGCGTGGCCAAGCCCGTCCTTGGAGCTGCTCTCTGAGGATATCTTCCTGCGTTTGGAGGAAGACTCTGCAGGAAATCCGGGCTGCCAACCTCCTCCTTGACCTTCCTTCTTGGCTGTATGCACAAAACAAAAATGAAATAATGTAATAAACACTTCCTTTCACAGGGTGTTGTTTAAAAAGTAATAAATTTAGGAAAATTTAGTTTGTGTGTTTAAGTTATTAATGAAAAATCTGTTACCCTTTTCTACTCAAAAAAGGAAACCTAACAGAAAAGCAAGAGAAATGATTAAGAAAAAGATAACAGTAAGTTTAATTATTAAAATTAAGGTTTTTCTGGCCTTCATATGTATAAAAACATATTAAAATACATTTGCGGGCTGGGGATTTAGCTCAGTGGTTTCACCACCTGCTGTGCAAGCGCAAGGACCCGAGTTTGATCCCCGGTACGAGAAATAAAATAAAATAAAATACATTTGCATTTCTAATGTGGTATCTTATTCTTTTTAAATTTACCACAAAACCCTGTATTTTGAATATTTTAAAGGATGTGGTTGTGTTCTAATACTGTTCTACTGTGGTTGTGAATGACTTGTGAAACAACGCAACTACAAAGTACCTCAGTCCTTGCTAGCTACAAAACGAAATTTAATATCTGCAAAATTATAATAATGATGTAAATAAAATTATTTTAAAAACACAGGTATAAGTTTAAATAATAGGTAAGTTACAAACTGCAAATACAAATTAGGACACCTCACTGGGTCCTGAGTCGGTTAGCTCCCTTGTGTTAACAGCGCACTCTAAGTAGGAGGTTTTGAGATGGACTTGAGGAGGGTTTAAGGAGTCCAAATGGAATCATTCGGAGCGTGAAGGAATATAAAGTACTAGAGGAACAGTCATAACTGATTATAGCAGGGCCAAGATTGTACTGAGTTCAGGTGTTTGGAGTACTTTGTAACTGAAAAAAAATTAGAAATGACTAATAAAAATATAAGCGAAAGGACTTATAAGTCCAAGAGTTATATTAAAAATACAACAGACTATTAAGCTATTAACAGTAATTCTGTAAAAATCAACATCTGTAAACTCAAATTTGCCACATTTATTCTAAAGCGGAAATGTTCTAATTAGCTCTGACTTTTTAAAACTTGTAACTGAATCGTAACCCTGTAGAAACGGAAGGCCTAGGAATGCCTGTTAACAGTTTTTTTCCCAAAAAAATGAAGAAATCCAGATTTTTGTGCAAAATGTGCCAATTTTTAAACATTAGTCTCCATTTAAAGATATAACTGTGCTCTGAAAAGACTGCATTTGCATCGTGGAATTAAACCTTTACTGTATCTTAGAAGCTTGTCTCTCTAAACACAGAAGTCAAAACTGAGTGAATTCCTTCTGCTCACCTAAGCCTGTCACCTCAGACCCTTCTGCCTCTGAGGTTTCTGGACAGGAAGCCATTTTCTCGCTTTCCTTGGAGTGAAAAGCTGACTGGAAAGCAGATATTCGCTCTCTTAAAGAATTAACATTTCGATACAATCCAGGGCTGCCCTGTTAAAGTACAAAAACAGAGGATGTCATAATTCAAACATAGTTTCTATATTCCAGGCCTGTAATTACTGAATCCAACACTAAATTCAGAAAGACTCTCTGAAGATCACAGGTAATGAATTAATGTAGCAGAGCCTCTTCTCCCTGGAATTACACACTTTCTACCTGAATATTTGGTGTGCTATAATCATCTTAGTTTCTCCTCTGCTCCTCCCACAATTTTTAGCAAAACCTGAGCAAAGAGGAAAAGCTGAGTGATACCGATAGATAGATGTGGAGCTATACATGGCTAATTTGGAAACTTCCAACCCCATGCATTGTGCTGAGAAGCCTGGAATAGTCAAAAATGCACCCAGGCACACATGCATCCCAGTTATTTGGCATAAAGAACTCTGGTTTCCGTTTTCCAACGGGCTTAAAGGGCTTTCTTTCTTTCATATCTTAGTATCCACTACCTGAGACAGCCTCAGCAAATCAAATTTGAAGGGAAAAAGTTCAGCACTAGAATGTTTGAGAGAAGCCATCCTGCAAGGTTACACGGAGGGCACAAAGAATACACGGAATCCCACGATGGGGCCGAGAAGAGGAGGCAGAGGGAATCTGCTTATTTGGAAATCTCACCACACCTTGCGCTGAAAGTACTACTGGAGTCACCTGCATGGCGCCTTTGTCACATGAAGTCTCGGCGCTCCTGCTTCAACCCAAACCTGTCTCCACGCACCCTCAGACCACACCTGCTCTCCACCCAAGCAGCCAAAACAAGACACAAGTTCCACGCTGGCTTCTCACACTACTGCAGGCTCTTCCTGGTGAGCTTTTCCTGATTCTCTGGGACCCAGAGGACACTTATTTCCTTAGGGTTGACAGCCAGTCATTCATTTAAAATAAAAAGTTAGATGGAATAAGCACAGACGCTTTCTGGGAACACAAGTGTGAGGCAAAGGTTAATAAAATTTTTATTAGCAGGGACAGAAGTGTATGATAAAGACAAGTAATATAAAATTTGACAGTTCTGTTTATATAAAAAATCAAGTACTGATTAAGTTCTCTATCAAGATTTTGTTACTTGAACTACTAACACATTTCTTTCTTTTTTTTTAACTAACATATTTCTCCTGATAGGGACCTTGTGGCAATTTTAAAATTCACACCAATGGGCAAAGGTAAAGTAAAACATTACCTTCTTTTAAGATAACGGATTTTTTAAAAAGCAGTGAAAAACATGAAGTCACAATTGCTGACGTTTGCATATCTGATTCTATTCCTAGTTACGTATGCTCAATACAGCAAAGTCTGTAACATAATTACAGAACATCTTAAACTCAAGTCTACCCGATGATGCAACTCTTTATGACACCGATGGCACTAGGATTCATAGAAGGCTGCGCCAGCTTCCATAGCAGCGGTGGAAAGGTTCTCTCGGAGCCACACCTATTACCTCGAGTGCGCTCTTGTGCAGAGGCTTTTTGAGGACCAGAGATAAGGAATTAGCGAAGCAGAGCCCCTTATATTTTGCGTACTCATAACTGAACATGGTTAGGGTGAGTGTAATATCCAAGGAACCTGGCATGCTTTGAAATGCTGCTTAAAGTAAACTGTAAGTTTCCCTGGTCAAAACTCCTTTTTCGTTATTTCCTGCTGGAGAAGAACAATGTTCATGTACAAGGAAATGAGACATCCAAAATGCACAGCTTTTTTGATGCCTTCATCTCATGAACTGTCTGTCAGCCAACACTGCGGCTGTGTCCCACAAACTTCTGGGGCTTGAGAACCAGCAGGGATTATATTCCAGAGATGGTCCGTGAACATACGAAGGTAGCTTCAGGTAAAAGAGAGGCTGTGCGACAGACCAAACTCTGCTGTGTGAGGCACTGAAGTGCCTGAGCGAGGGTCGAGACAGAACCACGTGAAGTAATACCTGAGTTTAAGGCATCACAATGAGAAGATGCTTTAAGAGAAGGTGTCTCGAGAAGAAGGCATTGTGTAAGAACCAGAACAGGGCAGAAGCCCTCGGTGGAAAATGTAAAGGGCAGAAAGAAGGCCAGTAGGCCACTGAGGAAGCAGACGAGAGATGAGGCTAGAGGTGGGCAGGGGTCAGGCCAGCAAGGGAGCCAGGCAGGCTTCAGGACAGGTCTGGGTTCACTTCAGGGCATGATAGACAACCAAGGGAGTTTTCTGCAGTGCAGTCACTGACCTGATTTATACTTTGAATATATCTCTTTGATCTGTGCAATGGTGGGCAGCTTAGGGAAAGAGGAGAGTGAGGAGACCAGGTAGGGGGAAGCAGTTGGTGGCCCTGGGGGAAATCACACTGGAGTTGTAGAACAGCAGCTGAGGCATGTGAGGAATTACAGACAGGCTCTGGAGACAGATGCAGCTGAGAGGCAGTGGTGAGCTGGATGTGGGACGTCTTGGCTGGGATCTGCTGGAGATGCTAATTAAACACCCGAGGGAGCTACTGAACAGGCAGCTGGGACCTAGGTCTGGAGCCCTGAGAAGCCACAGGCTGAAGACAGACATCCCAGAGGTGTCAGTCCACAGATGTTTAAACAAAGAGGAGGAAGCTAAGGAGAGCCCTGGGTACACCAGCACTTTTGAGAGGAAAACTGAAAAAGGTATAATTACTAAACAAAACAGAAGAAAATCAACTAGCATGGAATCCCATAATAAAACAAAGGAAGTGTCTCAAGGAGGCCAAACATCCAAAGCTGCTGTAAGGGCGGGCAAGATTAAACTTAGATCGGAGTTGTCAAAGTATAGGCCATTTGTCATCATGAGTCTTCTCAACACAGCAACAGAAACAAAAGCCCAAGTAGAGTGGCTGGCAGCAGCGGACAAGGTGGGCAGGAGGAGGAAATGGATCGAGTCAGCAGACAAGTTGTTCAGAGTTCTGTCATGAGGACGGCAGGAAAGGGACAGGAGCTGGGGGTCTGGGAAGTGACTCAAAGGAAAGAAGGGTAAGATGATGCAGAAGAAAAATCCAGCTCGGAATAACACACGTGGTCGTAACAATGTTGGAAAAAAGGGGGAAATGCGTGATAAAAGGCTTTCAGAAGAGGGCTAACTCTTCATCACCTACCGGAAGTCAATGGCTAATGCCTGACACAGAAAGGGTAGGAAGCACCCGAATACCTACATTATTAAGAGATACGAAGCAAATGCGAACAAGGTCAGCTACAAAAACTGAAAGCCTTGTGAACCGAGAAATAGGGGGGCAAACCAGTGACAAACTGCTTTTATAAAAACAAATTTCCCTGCAATGCTGATTCTTGAAACTATGTTTCAAACGAGTATGATACTTTTATTTATGTACATTTTTAAAAACTTAGAAGACCATTTTATATTGTTGGACCATGGAACCTAAACTGGGCGATGGATAAAAGAGGACACAGGGCGGGTGTGGAGCATGGGCTTGTGGTGAGAGCATGGCTGGAAGCGATCCTGCAAGATGAGCAAGAAATCCTCTAGCCAACTCACAATGAAAAACATACTCCGTCATAAAAAGCAAGCACCAGGAAGAATCAGCCATCAAAATATTGGTTGAATGATTTAATTACCACGACTCTTCAATACCGTAAATTAAAATACAACGGAGCTACGTCTTCAAAATGGAAATACATGGACCCAGATTTCTGCACCAAGATAAGCAATAGTGAAATGTGCTGGTGGGATAAATTTTATCAAAAACGCAGCCTCCCGCCGTGGAGTGCCGCTCACGGTTGGGCCCGACGCGGCGCTCCTCGGCTGCGGGCAGGAGGATGGCGCAACTCCCGCGTGTGTAACATCTGAAGAGATTTACTGGATGTGAAAAATAACTTTCCCAAACCACCTTGGTGTTGTGCTGTGTTTGCTGGGATGATGTTTGGGAGACTGAGTCTTCTGCAGCTGCTTTTCACTGGCATCGTGGGAATTGCTGGAGGAATATATATTTATCAACCAATATTTGAACAATATTTCAGAGGTCAGAAGACATTAAAAAAGAAGGTGGAATTAACAGAAGAATCAAAAGAGAAGTTAATGCTACATGGAGTTGAACTGTAATAACTGCATAAAGTTCGAGTGGACTTAACATTCACAATAAGGAACCTAGTAAAAATTTGGATATGTATTTTAAATATAAATAAATCATATATAATGATTTAAAAAAGTGCAGAGGCTCTAAAAGGCCTGAGGTAGTAAATTAAGAAAGGGAAAGAAAGGGGATCAAAGGAGGAGATCCAAAGGCAAATGGAAAAGGGAATGACCGAGGACGAGGAGGGAAGCCACGAAATGACATCTGTCCAACAACACTAGATGGCCACTAAACTAGGCCAGTGGAAGGACAGAGGACTCGGATGGGGGCATGGAGGGGACACACCAAAAATCAAAAACCTGATACTTTTTGCTTTTTTGAATCAGCCTTGACACATACCTCAGGTACCCAGGAGCTTGAGATTTTCCTGCCTCAGCCTCCTGGGTGCAAGATCACAGATATGAGCCACTATGCCCAGAAAGAATGGACACTGTTAAAGCTGACTGTTCTATCAACTACGGCCATGAGATAATATGATAAGATTAGGCTAAAAAGAAAAAAAAGAGGTACTTGCTAACTAGTCGAAAAAGAAAAGTTGTGCAAAAAGCAAAGATAACCATAGCATACTACATAGAAGTTTGTGAAAAGTGTCTACATGGTTAAATAATGCATTCTAATCCCCAATTTAAACAAAATTATAACTGACTGTACTGAAAGGATGAAAAAGGGGGAAAGCATTGGATCAGGAAGGGAAGGGACATAAGGACATAAGGGAGAGGGAAATTGCCTTTTTCATAGAAGTAGTAACAGCAGCAGGTCTTGAACATACTGTGCACATTCCAGGAACTGCTACAGGCACATCCTATCTATTATTCATCTTTTATCAGTCTTATTTTACACAGAAGGAAACGGAGATAGAGAACTCAAGTTACTTGCCAGAAGTGTCAACTAATTAGTGACAAAGCCAAGAATCAAAACTAAGCAATGAAGCTCAACATTCCATGCTCCTAACTGCTACTCTTAGAAACTGAGGACTCCAGGGTACATATGCCAGTTACACCTATGGGTAATATTTCTATAGCCTTTGCAGGATTATGGATATTCTTTAACTTACAGAACAAAGTTCAACAAAGATTTCTTAAAAGTTAATTGTAACATTACATATGAAATCCTATCAACAAATGCCTCTTATTGTTAGGTTAAAATACATCAGCCCACCTTGCAGCATGAAGTTATCTTTTACTCATGTAAGAGTTTTTAACAGCAAGCAGTGATCATTTTGGCTCACTGTGTTGGGCAGGTCTTCCAAAGGTGGGCACATTCAAAATACTACTCATGAATTTCCCTACTGATCAGTTAATCAGGAAGTTGCCATGCTCATAGAGGGAGATACACGTTTTCTATCGTTCTAATTTCCTCTTGAAATGCCAGTGTTCACTGGTAAGCAATGTTTCCACTTTTGTGGCAGATTCACTGTTCATGCATGAGAAATGGTCAGCCACCCTCCCAAAGTCTAACCAACCATGATTTGTCAATTGGTTGTTCTTTTGATTAAAAATGATATTTCCCTGGGAGGAGGGGAGTGGCTAACTCGGCCACAGCTCAATCATACACATGGCGATTCTAGGAACATCCAGGATACTTCCATATGCCAAAGCGCTTGATGCCAACTGCTCATTTCCTCATATAATACACAGGAGTTGGGGTTTAGTAAAATTTTTAGTGCTTCAAGGACATTTAGTAAAAATGGTATTTCCTGCGAGTGACTATGAGGAGCTTGATGCCACTGCCTTGGGCTCATAATTTTACTCACTGTTAGTTTTTGCATCATGAATGCAAACATCAACATGGTGGAAAAAAGGAAATAACATCTTAGGACAATCACAAAAATAGTTTTGACTTCAGGGACTGCTTGAAAGGGACAGATGGACCCCAGGTGTTCTTTTTGGTGCCTGACAAACATTAAGAACACTTATCTTGGGCTGGGGATTTAGCTCTATGGTTCCGCACCTGCCTCCCATGCGTAAGGACCCGAGTTCAATTTCCGGTACTAAAAAAAAAAAAGAGCGGATGGCTCCCAGCCCAAAGGAGACTCCCGGGTAGGCGTGCCGCGGCTCCCAGCCTGGAGGAGGCTTGCGGGTCAGTGTGCCACAGTTCCCAGCCCAGAGGAGGCTTCTGGGTAGGTGTGCCACAGCACCCAGCAGAGAGGAGGTGAGCCACACGGGCGACAGCAGCATCCCTGTCCCCCTAATCCTCCGCCCATCGAAATGAGAAGACATGTAAACAAGCCTCAGAATCAGACTTCCAGATCACCTACAGCAAGCCCAAAGGGAAACGAGATGGAACAATCTGATACTCAACCATCTGGACTCTCTGAACTAGCAACAAAAAAGGATCTGGAAAAAATGAAATCAGAAATAATTTCTACAATAACAGCAGAGATTGTGCCCATAGTGCAAGACATAATTAATAAATCTAGAGAAGACACAGATAAAAAAACAGAGGAGCTAAGGAACATGACGGAATCCCAACATAGGAAACAAATCAAATCCATAAAACAGATGCAAACAGATTTCCAGGAGATTAAAAACTCCATTGAAAGTCTGCAGCACAATGAGCCAATGTGAAGACAGAATTTCAGATATAGAAGATAAGATTGCAATTAGTGACCAGGAAACGAAAAACTGCTTTAAAATTGTAAGGGACCACGAGAAATCAATCCAGCAGCTGCTAGACAATGCAAAGAAGAATAACATAAGACTGACTGGAGTCAATGAAGAAAGAGGAGAGAGTGCAGATGACATAAAAAAACTCTTCACAGAAGTGATGGCAGAAAACTTCCCAA